AGTATAAGTAGCTACAAGTGAGCTGGAATAAATTCAATATTAATAAAAATCCCAGTATGTTTACTTAATAGGAATTCTGTTGTATTTTTAATCGTATGGCTTTTCTATATATATTTGCAAGTTCCCACCTAATTTTAACCTATTAACACCATTAAGGAAATGCAATGGCTGCCTTAAGCGGTAATTCTGGTTATGGTAAACATATAGAGTTTATTCATTTCTTAGAAAAATTAGATTTTCTCTGCTCTCACAGAATTGCTTATAATCCTTCACCCTAGGGCATAAGACTCAGGGGGAAGGAGGGGAAGTATTACAAAGAAATAAAATATTAGGCAAGATGGGAAGAAGTTTTACTTTGGGGAGCCCGTAGGACTATTCCTTTAAGTACACCTAGTTATGATTGGAATTTGTTTGACTTTGGGTTAATCACCTGCAGTTACAGCCGCCTAGGCAAGCCCCAGTTATAAATTAATGATGGGGTCTGCAGAGGGAGTATATGGTGGATGGTAGCGATTCTGGAATATATACTGAGAGGAGCAGCAGGCCCTGAGGAATAGTCTAAGGAAAGATGCCACTAAAGCACACAGTGTCTGTATTTAATTTGTTTTTACTACAGTGATGCTGCTTACATAGTTATTCTATACTGTGCTTGTTGTGCCAAGTGATCTCCTTGGACAACCACAACTCTACCAGCATTAAATGGGCAGTTACACTAATGTCAGTGGACAGGCCATGAGATTAGCACTTTTCCTAAGGTATAAATTTGGTATGAACTCTTAGAGAATAGTTTTTTCTGTTATTTAAACACTACTGTATTTCAGCAGGGCTTACTAAAATAGAATGCGATCAACAAGGATCTTAATGTTCTTGCTTTTTTCTTGGGCTTAGACATAAGAATTTCCACAGTAAAGTCGGGAGTGTTTTTCTTAGGAGTGAGAAAGGCCTTTCTTATCACTTTCTTTGGGCATCACTTGGTTCCTCAAAAGTGGCAGTATGGCCACTGTGTTGATAAGCAACTATTAGGTTCACATCTTATTATCTGACTGTAGGTTCATGTGAAAAGTACTATATTATGAAAAATGTATTTCACAATATTCTAACAGATGCTGCTAGTATAATAGCCTAATGTAACAAATGCACCAAATGTGCTCAAGCGTGTTTTTGACACTGTTTTCATAAGTGATGATATATCCTAATTGAAACTTACTAAAATTATGTTTTCTTCTCCAACTGTCATGAAAACATACCAAACTATGTGTTTTGTGTACCCATGATTGAAGAATATAAGATGTGTGTTCCTTTTGGCTTTCACTCTGTGGTTTAGAGTTATAATTTGAAAATATGAGATTTTATCCTTCTGAATATTAGTCTAATGAGTTAATTCAGTTCCAAGTCATGTTTTAATTCTCCTTCATTACTGATACAGCCAGTAGTAGACTTAAATTTGAAGCTTTGTATAAAACATTTAAAAATTTTTTAATTACATTATTAGAGGTAATAATGTTATAGTCTTTTTTCTTTTCTCTTCAACTCACAGAGTGAATCTGTTTGGAAATCTTCGAAGAAAGGCCTACATATTTATTTTTATCATTGTTTATTAATTTGTGTACACTGCATCCTTGTATCATATAATTCTTTTTTCTTTACCCAGAGCCATCCATCATGGGTGTTAGATCATTATGTAATTCTTTTCTGAAATCTTTTTTCTTGTGAAACCCAACACACACTAGAAAAGTATAAAAACCAGAAACATACAACCCGTTTATCACAAAGCATAACCCCTGTAACTGCCATTCAGATCAGGAAATAAAACACTGCCAGTACCCCCAGAAACCCCCACTGTGCCCTTACCAATCACTATTCCTTGTCTCCCACCCCCAGGGTTAACCACAATTTTCATTTTATGTTAATTCCTTGCTTTTCTTGATAACTTTACCACCTATTCATGCATCTGGAACACTATGGTTTAGGTTTAGTTTTGCCTGGTTTGGGTTTTTGTTTGTTTGTGTTTTTTGTTTTTACTTTACATAAATGGAATTATGCAGCTGGGTATCCTTTTGGGTCCAGTATTTTTCACTTCAAATCACGTTTATAAATACGGTTATAATTGCTTTTCAGTGTTGTGAAGTATACCATTGCATGAACTCAGCACAAATTATGTATCCATTCTACATGAATAATGCTGCTGTAGATATTCTTTCTTATGTCTCTTGATAAACATTGCACATATTTCTGATGGGTACACATGTAGAAGTGGAATTGCCAGATCATAGGATATGTATACTTTTAACATTGTAGAAAGTATCACTTTACGCTTCCACCAGAGAAATAGGAGCATTCCCATTGCTTGATCCTCACCACACTTGGTATTCTTTTAGCCCATCTGTTTATTGTGTAGTGTTATCTCATGCTTTTAATTTCTATTTCCCTGATTGCTAATGAAGTTGAGCAAATACAAAGAAACCTATTGAGATTTTTATGGAACTGCATTTAATCTGTAGATCAATTTGGAGAGACTGTTACAAAATTCAGCTTTCTAATATATTAACATAGTTTATTTATATAGCACTTTTCAGTTTATCTCAGTAATGTTCATAGTTTTCTCTATAGAAGTGTTCCATATGAATTGTTATATGTTTTTATGCTATAACAAATACTGTTTTAATACATTTTATATTCAGATTTATTGGTGATATATGGTAATAAATAGATTTTTAAATTTTACCTTGATATACAAATATAGTTCATCTATAGATTTATTTTTATTTTCTGTGTACATAATGATACAATCTGCACATAAAAGACTTTTTTATCTACTCCCCTGCCAAATCATTATACTTTTTGTTTTTTACTTTAGTAGGGCTAGGACCTTCCCTGACTAGTGTCTCCACTACAGTGTTGACTGAAAGTGGTAATAGTTGGCAGTTTCAAAGGGGAAGCATTAATTTTTTTTTCTATTAAGTATGATGTTAAATGTTGCTGAATTTGTTTTGTGAATAGTATATTTAGGGTTTTTGAATCCAGGTTCATGAATGAGAAAATTCTGTAA